ATATGTAATGAAATGTAAGAGGTAATATTTATCGAATTAAAATTTTTGTAGATTAAATAACTATTATCTACTGAGTAATACCTGTACCGATTATTTGAGGGGCCGTACTATCTTGGCCTCAAAGTAAGGGTAGTGAACGTTATTGATTCTTTACATATTATATTTGTGGGAGTCTAAACGTTCAACGCTGACACACCTACCTCAAGAGCGAGGACTTTCCCGCTCGAGGGTGTAAATAAACGAGAAAACGTTTTTATCTTTTTCTTTTTTTTTTTGCTTTCCGCGAGCATGAAACTTGTAAGACACAGATGTTGCCCAGGGTACAATACTTGTAAACTTAGTATAGCTATCAATGGTAGTTTTACTGAATTCTTGAAGCTAATTTTTAGAGTTTCAAACAGATTTATCTTAAAATAAACGATATTTTTTATTTGTTTGTTTTGTTGAATTTCGCGCAAACTTGCCCGTGGGCTTAAGTATGGAAGCATATTATGCTAATGTAATACGTGTTTTTGAAAAATACAGACCAATGTTCTGTTGAAACAGTATGCTTCCCCAAAATACAAACAACTTCATTGTGTTTTAAAACCGTTTTTTGCCAATTTATTATTATTACTCGTGGGCTATCAGCGCCACCTAGTCGTCCCTAATTTTGAAATGATAGACTAGAGGGAAGACAACTAATCGACACCACCCACCGCCAACTCTTGGATTACTCTTTACCAACGAATAGTGGGATTGATCGTCATATTATAACGCCGCCTCCCCGACTGAAAGAGCGAGCATGTTCGGTAACCGGATTCGAACCCACGACTGGCAGAGTGCGAATCGAGTGCCATAACCACTAGACAAATTTTGGTTGTCTGTTAGTTGAGCGTAAAACTACACATTGGATTATTTACGCTGCGTCCACCTCAGGGATAGAACCTGAAATCTTAAAGTTATAAGTCCTCAGGTTAACAAATGAGCCCACCGATGGAAAGAACGGGAACATTTTGTTTGACAGTTTCGGAAAACAAATGGCAGCCTATTTACAGCAAAGACATGTATTACGGTGAACATGATACTACAACAGAGTACCAAAAGTACTGCATCAACTGTAATTTTAATAATTAATTTTATTTTCTTACAAGAGAAGCCGGTAGTGAAGCCACTGATAGATACGTACTGGGGTTATTAAGAAAATCTCGCAATTCAAATACTTTCCAACTTAATTAGTGTCTGAGTAAAAGTACTTTTCCATTACATTTACAGTCAGAGCCAGCTGTAGTCAAAGTTATGGCCCGTACGAACATTATATTCGGCGCCCCTGCCCCTGTATAATTGACAAGAACTGCTAATTGCAGTGTCGAGTTTGGCACTCCTTGTGGTTGCCACTCTTGTGTGGGAGCGCACGTCCCCCACCTCAAGGGCCGGCTCTATTTACAGCTATAAGCTGATATTTCAAAACAGTGCTTGTTGAAGCGCAGTCATGTTTGGTCAAATTTAAAGCACTATTGTATGCTGCGTATTATATATATATATATATAATTATTGATAATTAAAATTATGGAATAACTTGACGGTTTTTACAACGTGTATGCGTAATGTCTGTGAAAAATTGTGACCTATTGATTTACCAAAGGAAACTGAGCAAATTGCTAGTAAACAACACTTTTTTAAAATGTAACTTAAGCTAATTCAGAGATAAACTATGTGCAGAGGTTGAAACGTAAATAAGGGAAAAAAGACAGAAGTCGATAAAAATGTGTAGCTTTTTATTAGGGACGCTAAAATTGCATCTATTTATATATATACTGTACAATCACTCAGTAATTTCAATCGTTTGAAAAATACTTTTCCTCTATATTCGTCATTAAAAGTGAAAATTAAAAATGTTGTTCGACTCGATTACGGTAACAATTTCAAACTGTCATGTTATAAGGCCTATTTTTTAAACACTACCCTAGCGGAAAACGGTAGACATGACGCTTCTGTGCATAAGAGAAGGAACCCAATCATCTTACTTCTCATGATTATTTTATAATTACCGGTTTCGTTAATTGATTCCTGATACCGATTCGTGTTTCATGATTTCAGGAAAGTGTAACAGTGGCGTAGCAAGAGGGGGCAGTCGCCCCCGGGCGCAGGTGTGAAGAGGCGCAAAATTTCCTCTGGCATATAATGCCTATTAATTAATAATTATGCCCTCCCCTAGGATATAGCGCAACTGCCCTATGTTAAGTAAATATGACAGTGTTACGCTATTTGTGTGTGTATTACGCTTGCAGTTTTAACTTTTAAAAGCCGCCCACTGAAATACAGTGAGACCGAATTGACGTACAGAAGTAAATTACACTATTCCATCATTCATCTGCAGATCAAATACAAGTCCTAGAGTACAACGTAGAAGTAAATGTATGTTCAACAAAAAGAAAATAAGAGATTGATGTAACATATTAACTGGTGTGCAAGATTGGCAATATATGCAACAGGCAAGGCCTAAACCTAGATCTAGTAAACATTATAGGCCTAATGTAGTGGATTGTAATTGTATTGGC